ATGTTTCCTTCTGGAAGCTCCCCAACTTGCCCCTCCCTCCCACTCTGGGCTGAAGCAGGGGCCCCTGCTCTGTCCCACCATGGCCCCCGAGTTTCTCTCCAGCACTGCCCTCACCACACAATCTACCAGCATCGATCTTTGTCTGTGCCCCCTCCCCACCCCATCACCTGCCCACCGTCAGCCCTGGTACCTAGGTCTGTCTACCGCATGTACACTGCTGCTCAGACTTGGGGTCATGTGTGGCATTAAGGCCCACACTGTGCTCATCTCCATCTACCCTCTCTGACGGGCACACGGTATGTCCTCACTAAATGGCCACCGATGGGGACCTGGCAGTATATAGTGAGTGGCATAGACAGGCAGAGCTGTGATGCTCAGAGGAAGTGAGAGTCTCTGGGCTGGGCTGGGGACTTCCTGGAGGAAGCATCTGGGAGAATCCTCCATGAGTCAGTCCTAAGATAGCAATTGAGGACAGGCCACAGGAAGTCCCTAGCCCAGCCTTAGGGTCATCAGAGCAAACCATCAAAGGGGACCAGAGTCTGCAATGAGGGAGATCCAGTGGCCAGGGCCCAGGATAGGGCCACTGGAAGGGCTGGCAGTGCATTCAGGGAAGGCTTCCTAGAGGAGGGGTTACTTCTGGCTGGTTTGGGGCAGGGAAGAAGGTGGAGATGAATCGGGTTGGAGAAAGTGGTGAGAGACAGAGATGTAGAAGAGAAAGCTGTCTCTTCTTATCCTTTGACCCTGAGAGGAAAGGGAGTTGGGAGGTGGATGGGCAGGAGGAGCAAAGAAGACCAAGGCGATGTGGAGATAACGTCAATGCGGACACCATTGCCAGGGCGGGCATGGATGGCTGGGGCTGGCAGGGAGCAGGTCCCCAGCTGTGGCTGGGAAACGTTTCCTGTCTCCTTGCCAGGGGGGTCATTAATAATCGTTTACCCACCACAGGCAGCACGGAGGCCAGCCAGGGAACGGCGTGGTGCTGGGGCCGGAGCCCAGCCTGGCGGCCAGGAGAGCTGTATTCTGGGACCAGCCCTGCCACCCTGCTGTGAAACCTGGACAAGTCACCTAATCTCTCTCAGTCCCTGGTAAGGCTGGGAAAAGGAGGGCCCAAAAGGAGGCTGCCTAAAGTCCCCTCCCTCCTCTGTGCCTCAGTTTCCCTAGATGGCAGCTGGGCTGCCAATCCTACAGGGGATTATGGACATCTGACAATCAAAATGAGCATCCTCAGACACAGAAGGTGGGAGCCCCAGGAGGCCTATTTGGTCACTGCTCTGACCCCAGCTATGATCCCAGCACTTAAAACTGCGCCTGCCCGGTGCATAGCAGGTTCTCAATAAATGCTTTTAGACAAGTGAATGAGTCAATCTGTTAAATGAGACATTTGTGAAAGGAGCTTGGAATTTGGAAAGAGCTGCCTAAAAGATGATGATGACAATGACAATGATCTGGCCAAAGACAGTCAGATGGGAAAAGGTGACATAGAAGATTGAGATGGCTGGAGGCCAAGGGATGGCCATGCAAAGCCAGACAGTATTGCTTGGGAAGGATCAGCTGCCTTTAAGATCCCTTTTTCCAGTTGGGCCAGAATCTTCCTCAGCTCCAGGCCACATTTCTCTGCCTACCCAAGGCCCTGCTCAAACCCACTCACTTTGGAGAACCTTCTGGAATGTGATGCTGAGGCATTAGCCCCCAGCCCCTTCCCCTGACTGACTCTGATAGTCTCTGTGCCTTCCAACCATAAGGATTCCTGGCCTTTCAGGCTCTCAAATACCTGCTGGCAGGTTGCCCATCAAGGTCTCCCCAGAGCTTTCTTTAGAGGACAATCTGGATCCTCCTACCAAATGAGATGTCCCCCATCAGACTAGACGGTCCCCAAAGGTGTGACCAAGCCTCCTTTTTCAGATAAGAGGACAGAGTCTATTCCCCCCTTCAGATACAGGCTCAAAAAAAAGTGGAGATAGATTGAGGTCTTCCTGGTTGTCTCCCAGCCCAAGGACCCTCCCCAAGGGCCACACAGAGAAAGGAAGAGGACAGGCCAGCATGCAGAAGGGAGCGCTTGGCTGCTCGGCACCCCAGAGATGATGTGAGCCAGGATGGGCGCTGGGCCACCCATGGGACTAAGACCTCATGGTTGGCAAACTCGTCCAACTCCAAGTGCGGCCCAAGCTGTTCTTGTGCCAAGGAGGCGCCACCGGGGATGCCATCCAGGCCTCAGCGCCTGCGCCTGGACTCCTCCCCTCTGCGGAGTACTGTGAGGTGGTAGTAAACACAGTGACCCCGCGACACGTGCATCCTCTCCCCGCCCCCTCCAAATCCCGGCCCAAAACACCAGACAGCCTAGAGGAAAAGAACAAAGGTTCCCGGACCGCGACATCGCCCGCCGCCTGCCTGTCCAGCGCCTGCTCAGCCGGAAACCCAAGACAAAGGCCTTGGTCAGAGTGAGGAGGATGAAGGGCAAAGGGTAGGCAGCCCGGCTTGGGGGGGCCACACGAGAACGTCACTGGGCATCTCTGGGGACCTAATTGGGAGGGAAGCAAGCACAGGATGGCAGCCAAGCCCTCCCTGCACACACACGTCACTCCACAAACATTTATGGGACACCTGCCGTATCCCACACACCCCAAACATTATGTACCTCATTCCTCACCCCATATGCTTTCTGCTCACACTCCCTTACCCCTGGCAGCACATTCCACAGCCCTCAACACTACCTCACCCCACACACACCCCCAGTTCACTGGACACCCCTCACACACTCCTCACCACACACATAAACAGCTCCCAGGGAGAAAAGATCACATAATCCACGTCACACCAAAAAGTCACACAGCCCACACACCCACACTTCACACCACACTCACACTCAATCTCCCACCATGCACCTCATACACCCCACACTCACTTCCCCAACCACAGACAAACACATCCAATTAAATTCAACACACACACCACGCAGACATGGAGATACACCCTGCATAGATAATGTACACACCTAATGTCACACCAAAATGTCACACATTTGTGGGCACACACAGCCTCTCGGCATGGACAATCCTGCCTGCATACTGCTTCCTCCCCACACACACGTGGGCACACACACACACACATACACACACATACACACTCAGTCAACCGGCTCTTTGCCTTGGACCCCTCAGCCCTGGCTGCACTCTTTCCTACCCAGAGTTGCACAAACAGCCACCACACAGACACATGACACTCAAACACCAACACACAGGTCCTAACATATTTCCCAAGCAAGCCTAGAGTGTACCACAGTGACTCTAAGTCAGTCAGCTAGGCTGGAAACACACTGGGGCACACACATACCCCCACCACCCCCCTGCCAAGACATCCAATGAAACACTTCATCAGGCCCCTACAGTGGCTCTTCCTGGCTACACACAACAGCAAACATACACAACCACACACACAATCCCCCAAGCAAGCTGCCCCTACAACAACTCCACCCCACAGATACACAACCACATACCATAAGTTCCCTACACACACAACAGTCATACATACAGCTACTGCTCCACACCCACCACATGGCCTCCCCAGCCACACACGGCATGCAACGCCATACACTTGCAATCCTCACACTCACCATGAGCCCTCACAAATCCCCCCAAATAATTCCACTTGTGATGACACACACAATACCACATGACACAACACACATGATCACACACAAGGCACACCCAACATCCTACACAAACACATACACCCAGACTCCCCCAGCTCTGCACACCTCCCACCACAGGTGACCGACACCAGATTGCAGTCTACTCCTCCCCTCCCCCATCCCAGGCCCCCAGCTGCCCTTAGTCAAGACCAGGACAGCAGGGATGAGGCGGTTTATAAGTTATGAACCCCACTGCCCCACCACACAATCCCCACCCACCTTAGATCCCTGGGCACCGCCCAAGGGCTGCACACTCCATGTTAGTCCCTTCTACCAGCGCCAACACCATGCCATGCCTGACAACATGGGGGGGCTGGAGGTCCTGGGGACACTGGCCAGGTACTCTGAGTCAGCCTCCTCACCACCCAAAAGCAGAGGCAGATACAAGCGGAAGGGATGACCATAGGCAGAGACCCCATAACAAAGATAGACACCTAGAGAATTGGGGGGAGTGACGGACAGACCGAGAGAAGTGGTCACATGGGCAAAAGAGACCAAACAAGAGAGAAACAGGGGGGCAGAGAGAGAGGATGCCCAGAAAGACTCCGAGAAGCCAGAAGAGAACCAGAGAATAAAGCAGGACCACCAGACACAGAGGGAAATGAGAGGAGAAGGTGAGACCAGCTGGAACAGACTAGGGGACCTCCTGTACAAGAGGGAGTGAGGGAGGGAGGGAAAGCAGGATAAGGGTGGGAGGGCGGCCTGCCGAGAAGGAGAGAAACCATGATGAAAAGAGGTGTTTGGACCCTGGGGTCGGTCCCAGGAGAGGACTGAAGTCCTGATGTTTGAGTAGGAATGTGGGTGGGGGTGCAGATGAGGCTGTGGAGTAGAGGTTCAGGGGCTTGCGGTGAGGCTCCAGCTCTGAGGTGGGGTTCTGGCTGAGACTTGGGGGTTCAGGTGTTCTGGGTGTACCTGGAGTCCAATATATATAGTGGGTGTTCTGGGGTCTGGGCAGGGGTCCTCCGCTGATCTGGGAGGCAGCGGGTTCTGGGTTTGAACAGAGCTCTCGTGTGGACTGGGGTCCCACTGTGGATTGGGAGTTCAGTGCTTGGGGTGGAGTTCCGGATCCGAAAGGGGTTCAGAGTCTGGGGTGAGGTTTGGACTGTGAGCTGGGGATTCAAGGACTCCGGGTATGGGCTGCAGTCCCAGCACAGGAGTGGGATTCAGAACTAGGGGAGGGGTCCGCACCCTGAGGACGGTTCAGGGGCAGGGCGGACCACGGAGCCGGCGACTGCACGCTCCGCGGAGGACCCGGCCGGGCGCTCGCCCGACAGCAGGTTCTCCTCGTGCCCAGCGCGGGGGGCCCCCCTACCTGCAGGCTGTCGGCGCATGGCTGCGGCGGCGGCGGCGGCTCGTCCGGCTTGAGGAAGACCTGCTGGCCGCGCCTGAGGAATTGGACAACAGCGATGAGGATGTGGTGCAGCACCAGGACCATGCTCGCAGCCGCCCGCCCGCCCGCCGGCCCGGCAGCTGCGCTCGGTCAGCGCGTCCGCGACAGCTTCGCCGGGTCCGCGCGAGTGTCCGCCCCGGCCCTCGACCGCCCCAGCCCCGCCTACCTGCCCGCAACCCTGGACAGCACCTCTCAGACGGTGCGATCTTCGGACCCCCACTAGAGCCCCCCATCAGCTCTCACCTGCCTCATCTCTCCACTCTCAAGATTCTTCCAGCTTGTCCGCTATTAGGATCCCCCGCCCGTAGCCGGCTCTCAGCCCTCGCTCCCTTCTCTTGCCCCTTCGCCACTCCTTTCACTACCTCGAAGGGGCCTCACAGAGCCCCTACCCTGTCTGATCACGGCCTCTCCCCACCACTTAGAAAGTCCTGGAGCCAGCCAGGCCAGAGCCCCAAGGCAGAGACCAGCGCAGTGAAGGGGGAGTACAGGGGGGGAATAGGGAGGAAGCGGCCGCTGATACGATACAAGGAGGCCTGGGCTTGCTCCTCTTCCAGGAAAAAGGGGGAAGTCAGGGAGAATTTTAGAGGTCGCTCCGGGACGGATAGGCCCTGGGAGCAGTAGCAAATCTGTGCGGGAGACACGTGCGCACAGACACGCGAGCGCGCACACAGACAGGCGCACCACTCCCGAGCGGGGGGTAGGGGCACTGGGCCCCCAGCGCTGGGCAAGCACGTCTGCGTTGGCGTCCCCGGAAGCCGGAGAGGGTGCAGGCCCCAGGGCCACACAGTCCACAGTCCCGCGGTGGGACCCGCGCGCCCGGAGCGCAGTTCTCCGCAGAGCGGCCTCGGTGCTCAGGCGCCTGCGGCAGCCGTGACGCTCCTGCGCCCCCTGCTGGCCCATCGCGGAGGCGCAGCCCGGCCCTATTTGCCGTCTGCCTGGCTGGGGGTCGGAGGGGGGAGGGGTCACCTGGGCCCGCTCCCTGTCTGGACCCACCCGGTTCCTAGGTCCGCTTGGCATGAGATCGGCTGGGGCAGTGGGACATGTCTGGACTGGAGGGTGCGCTTGGGTCTCGCCTGGCCTTTGCCAGCGACTTGCTGCACGACATTGGTCAGATCCCCTCCCAGGATTCTGGGCCTCAGTTTTCCCATCTCCTTCACAGGACTGCCAGGAGAATCAAAGCCGGTAATGGTGGGAAGGCAGCCAGAGTTCCCGGACAGCCCTCGCTGTGGTCTGACCTGAATCCTTCCCACTGCACTGCAGACCCCTCTCTCTGCAACTAGCCCCCACCACCACCTCTTGGAGGGTGACTCAGTGAGCCCCCAGCCTCCCCACCTCACTGGGCTGATTCATCTGGGCCCTTTCTCTCTGGGGAGTGATTTCCTCAATGTTGAGTCACTGAGCCCAGTCCTGGACACAGTCCAGGCACCTGGCACACAGGCTGGGCAGAGCCCTGGCTGTGCCACAGCTCAGGGGGAGGCCCTCCATGCCAGGATTTCTCCTACCTCTCTGAGGCCCGGCTCTGGACATGCTTCTTCCCCTGCTCAGATACCTTCAGTGCCTCCCTACCACCAGCACAATAAAGCCCAAACCCCCAGCCTGACACGCCAGACCCTCTATAACAGCTCTGACTTGTTTTTCCAGCTTTGACCCTCTCACTGCCACTGCAGCCACCGTTCCTTAAATTTATACTTCCTGCTCTACTCAGAAGGGTGACTGACTCATTCTCACCTCCAGACCTTTGCCCATGCCACCCCACCCCCACTGCCCTCCAGATCCAGTCAGTCTGCTTATCGTAAGGTAGCATTATCCAATGCTACCTTAGTCCTCTGGGTCTCCCTTCTTGCATCTTTCCTGGGAGTCATGTCTGGGGCATGTGGAGGGATGGGGAGCCTGTCTGTCACTAAGTGATCCAGGCCAAGTCAATGTATTTTACTGCATCTTCAAACCGGGGGCAATTTGTCCAACTTATTAACACTGTAGAAAACGTTGCAAGATGTGTAAAGGTTCTGACCCAGAAAGGGGCCTCCCTTCCCTTTTTTGGCCTCAGTCTCCTGCTCTGTAAAGAGGGTGACCAATTTAAGAGCTATTGTAAGGACTGAGTCTAAGCCCAGGGCACGAATCTCTTCACCAGCTCAGTCCTGGAGTCTGGATAGCCTGGGTGGGACACAGGTACTCAGGAGGTGTCTGTTACAGCCACCAGGCAGAGCTATTTGTTCTTCAGGGGAGGCCATCTCAGACCCCACAGTCAAGAGCCAACCCTGGCGTGGCACAGCCACCTTCTCCTGGGCTCCCAGCTCTAGGCAAGACCTCCACAGCGCTCACCTCTTCAGAAGTAGTTCTTAAATCTTACTTGGTCTCTCATATGCAGCTCAACGGCTGGAGCTCCAGGTACATGCTCTATGACCCTCAACTCAGAGAGATTCCTTCTGTGTCATTCCTTCAGATTCAAGCAATCCTAACTCTGCCATAGACTTGCTGTGTGATTCTAGGCAGACCAAGGCACCTCTCTGAACCTCATGTTTCCCATCTGTGAAATGTTAACACACTAGGTTCAATAAACAAACCTTTCTTTTGATGCTTGGCAGGATACAGAGCCCTTTCACAAACATTCTCTCATGTTATCCTTGAAATTCTCCAACCAGCCCCCTCCCAAACAAGGCTCTTCAAGGTGGCAAGGTGACACGCCTTGCCTGAGCTCTCACGGCCAGGAAGCAACCCTTCCTCCAAGGCTAGGACTCCTCCACTCCCCACCACATCCCTGCCCCCCACTCTACATTCTGTGATTCTGTGATTCTGTGCTGGGTTCTCACCTGGGCTCAGGTCTGGGACTGCCCCATCCCAGATACTCTTAAATGTTCCCAGGTGATGCTAATCTGCTGCCAGGTTTGAGGATCCTGGGTTAGCTGCATCTTGTCCCTGGCTGACCTCAGTCCCGTATACTTGAGGGTCAGGGGTGGCCCCGCAAGGCTGGGTGTGTGTGCATCTGGGGCTGGGGGCTCTGTGTCTGGGGGGCTTTAACACGTATTGAGCAGTTACCATGTGCCTCACATTTCATCTTCTCAACAACAGTGTGAGGTAGGATTTATTATTAGCCACTTTCTACAGATAAGGAAAACTGAGGCACAGAGAGACTAAGTAACTTGCCCACGGTCACACAGCTAGTAAGTAGTGGAGCCAAAATTCAAACCCAGGCCATCTGGCTCCACTCTGTGGCTTAAACTCATGCTCCACCTCCTGAGGAAAGGCATGTGAGAAAAAACAGATTTCCCCACCTCTCCTTTTGTCCCCAACAATGCAGTGACTGAGGGGCCTACACTCCCAGTCCCCGAACCCTCTGCCCATCTCTGTCCTCCCAGCTCTGGCTCAGGAGTGGCTGGCCCAGCCCCTCAGCCACCTCTTTTGGTCTTCCCACCTTACGGGCCACTCTAAGCTGCCCGGTGGCCCAGCTACCTCAGACTGGGTGTTTTAGGAAAAGGTGACTCAGCCGTGAGCCTGGCAACCTGGGTACCAGGCCCACTCAACCGCAGGGCCTGTCCAGGAACCGGCCCTCCCTCGTTCCTAATAATAATGACACCTCCCATTGGTGGACCATTGTGCTTACAAAGCACTTCCTCACCCAGGAGGCGAGCAGACCTTCCTCCTCGCCATCTCTCCATCTCTCACACTTGGCACCAGCAGATCCTCAACAGACCCCAAATCTGCTCCCACCACTGCCCACCATGACTGTGTGTCCTGCTCCCATGAGCCTGTCTGCTGCCTGACATGCACCTATCCTGTTGCTGCTAACCATGGTCAAACCCCCAGGGCCCAGGTTCAAACCTGAGTCCTGCCCTGACATGCTGAGTGACCTCAGGCCCGCTCTGGCTCAGACTTCTCAGCAGCTGTGAAGGTTGGCCTGGTTCTCTTTGAGGGCAGCTCAGGTGGAGAGAGGCGGGATCCAGGCAGGCCTAGCTTGGCAGAAGGCAGCTCCCCTGGGCAGGCAGGCCTGCCTGGGCATGCCCTGCCCAAGGACTGTGAGCAAGGGCCAGATCCCAATATGGGAGGCTCCTCAGGAGAGAATGTGCGTGACTCAGTCTCTCCATGACCTGGGGTCGAGCCCACGGACGAAAATAGGGCCCGACCATCCAAGGGGCCCTGCAGAGGGACAACCTAAGAAGTACCCTGGAGAGAGCGGACATCTCTGTGGATTTTGCCTCCATTCCAAGCCTGTCCTCAATGCTTTGCCCTGGGGAGGGCATGAGTGTGCACCTGGGGAGGGGCGAGCCACCCTTAGGCAGCTGTGTGTATGTGTGAGGCCCTGCATCCTGGGCTGTGGGCATGGTGTGGGTGAAGGCAGGAGAGGGTATGAGTACAAATTTGTAGGGTTATATCTTTGTGAGGGAGGGTGACACTTGCATGGTATAGCTGAACTTGTGTGTGTGTCCACAGATGTGTATGTATCTACAGGAGTGTGCATATGTGTGTGTGTGCAGATAGGTATGTGTCTGTGTACAGGTGTATGTATGCACACATCAGTACAGTTGTATGTGTGCACAATGTCCAAGTACCGTGCACGAATGCATTCATGTGCGAATGTGTGTGCAAATGTGTGTGTGTGTGTGTATGATCAAATTCACACTTGACAGGGGTGCTGCCTGTGCACTAGCCCAGGTCAGCTCTGTGTGTCCACTGGGTGTGGCCCCAAATGTGGGGGTGGCCCTCACAGAGAAATGATCTAGCTGCAGGCAGATGCTGGGGACAATATGGATTTTGGCTCTGAGTGGGCAGGGCCTGCTCCCAGAGTCCTGGCAGCAGCTCTGAGTGGGAAAGAGCACAGGCTGAGTAAACTCAGACCCAGGGGATGAGGGGAAGTGCGGTGGGTCAGCCACAGGTCTCATCCATTTCCATATCATTTTCATATTATTTTCATATGCATTTGTCTTGTCTGCAGCAGATGGCCAGCTCTAAGACTCTAGAGGGGGAAGGGAACCTGTAGGATTCTAGTCCAGGACTAGT